ACTTTATGGACAGACCTGCTTAGAGCTTGCTATTTTTCACATAAGTAAGATTTTTAACATTGTCTGTTAGAATAGGTAATCACTATTGTAATGATCTTTGTATTTGTAGGTATAATAGACTTTCAGGATTTCTGATTTATGGGATTCTTAGCCTCACATAATAAAAATGCACATACATAGTATTTGTCATTGCATCTGAGGTTTGCAAAATCATTAAAGTGTGATTTTTTTTTTACTTTTTTTTTTTAAAGACCATGGATTTTACTTCTTTTTTATTAAAACATTGTTTCTAAAAAGTGGTTCAGCACATAGCCTGAGATACATCCTCAGGAGGTAAAGTGGCCAGGTCTCGGTATTGGCCAGGTCTGGTTTCATTGTATTTTCCTTATTTTTATTAATGAAAAATTAAATTACCATTTTTCCACTGAAATATAAAGGGTTATGGATTGCAAGCACAAAATTACAATTACTTTTTTTTATCTTTACTGGCGCCAAAGTATCTGCACCTGATATTTTCGATCAGCCAATTCTTAAACTAAAGAGAATTTGGAAAACAGTTCAATGACAAAAATGGCTTGTCTGGCAAAGTCAGGACAAAATGACTGTCCTGAGAACTTCTGCAAAAAAAATAATAAATTCTGACCTGGGATGGCAAGGACTGAAGAGCATTGTACACCATGGCTCTGGCAGCAAGTGATGTGCAGCTCAGAGGAGTGTAATGGCCCGGGATTCACAATTACCTTTACTTGGAGAAAACTCTTGGCCTTTGGCTTCTCAGTCCCATTAAACTGAAGATCTGCACCTAAATTTTATGTTTGAGGGGGTAGGAAGGGACCAAACAAACATCGGTTGCTCCTGGTAATGTATAGAAATGGGACTTAGGAGGCAGCCGTCTGTCTTTATCAAATGCTGTCACCAAGACAGCTGACATCTGTTTCCAGTTGGGTAATTAATTCAGGGGGATAATGGCACATGTTTCATATCATTATTATCTTTCATATCGTTATGAGATGAAATCATAAGTCTCTTCATCGGCATAATAAACAATTGCTTTTGCTGCAGTTGTGGAAAGCAGAGAAGTTGTACATCTAGCTGAGTTGCTAGATCGCTGGGCTGTCAGGGCTTGACAGGGAGATCCCTGCGCTGTTTAAAAATAGCAAGGGTTTGTGAGAATTTTGGGTTGGAAGGAATCAACAGTTGCAGTCAGGATGAGAAAGAGCATAAAGTATCCCGATGTGAAAAATGCAACAGAAGTTTAATATGATTTGGCTATGTCTGGTATTGGTAAGTCACTGAGCATTCGATATCGCAGCTGACTCAGGCTTATTTATCTTTCGAAATATGCCAATTATTATACCATGTAATCTTGGTCAGTATGTGGGGTAAGAGTTTTTTTTCTCCTTTTCTTTTTTTGTTTGGGTTTTGTTTGTTGTTTTTTGGTTTATTTGTTTTAACTGTTAATCACTGACAGCAGTTCTCTGGATAGGATTTGTAAAATTTTGAACAGTTGTCCATGCTGGAAATTTATATAGCAAATGTATTTAATCCTTTTTTAAATTTTCAGTTAAACCAGTCATGATGCTGAGGTGAGCTGTACTGGTTGGTCTGGGCTCACTTGCTGGGTAGTGTGTCCAGATAGCCTGGCATTTATTCCGGTATGACCAGCAGTAAAATAATTAATAAAATCAAATTTCGCTAGCGTTTGGGGCTGTTTGCTTGCAGAAATAGGAAGATCACACCTAAGTGGCTTGTGTTTACCATTTTTGCTTCTTAAATTCTGAAGTCTGATGCTGCCACCAAAGAATGACTAGTCCTTTTCTGATCACTCTCTAGTTTTCCCCTTTGTGTAAAAATGCAGTATTGGGGGGTATTATTCGATCAGAGGAAAAGATCAGGCAGAAGAATGTTGCAGAAATAATGCTCAGTTTTAGATGGAGTAACTTGTTAATTCCAGCATCTGCACGTATACAGTCATCAGGGAGTTATTGGGCTACATGTGTTTGTTTTTTAAAACATCTGTCAACTAAGTCAGAAATCTAAATGCAAAGTGTTACATTTGTGGATTTCTTACGTTTCCTAGTGGAATTTCATTTTGTGTGCTAATCATTGGGGAATGCGGAGGTAAAAATAGGATTAAATTTGTGTGCGTGTATCATTTCTTTGACAAATGACTTGCCCTATTCTCCTTTAACAGCATCAAATATAAGCAAATATATGAGATGAAGTTATATTATTTTTGTCTCAGGTGTCTTACTGTCGGTGTGGAAAGAGGCATATCATGTACATGGGGTTTTTTGTTTGGTTTTTTTTTGTTTGTTTTGGGTTTTAGTTTTTTTTTTTGTCCCAGTAACGAAATAACAGGCTGTGGAGGGCCTTAAGCTACTCCGAACAGTTTCATAACATGTTGTAGCTGATTCCTGCAGCCACACTGCAAAACTCACTTCATTGTAATATATTAAGTAGGCTATAATCCATTTGACAAAATGCTTCACCACATAGCACTTAGGTGCATTGTATTGACTGTCACTATAGTTCAGTGTTACTGCGTTCACTGTTAACTGGAACATAGAAAATATTCATGGGGAGCTAACTTGTGGGCTAAATGCACAACATTAAGATATTTCGAAGATACTGCTTTAGGCGACTTTACCATTGCACACCATTGACCTACATTTGTGATATTTGACATTTTTGATAAATACTGTCAAGGATAATCCATCACAGAACAAGTTCTCAGAGTTTCAGGGTGTTTGTTAAACTCTCATAACTGCAATACAGAAGTGTTCCAGAAAACAGTATTTTATATTTATAAGTAGAGTAAGAGGTTTTCCAAGTAAGAAAATTACTAGGGAGTCCATTTCCAGAAGAGTACAGCTGTCTTCACTTAAGAGTATGGGGTCCAGTGGAGACTGGGCTACAAGTGCCTGTCAGCTGAGGACCATATGTTTCTGTAGGTTACATCTTTAAATCCTTACCTCTTCAGATTTGGGATGACCACCATTTTAATGGAAAAACAAAATGTGGAATAAACTTCGCAGCACTTATGGTGTTTAAAGATCTGTACTGCTTTCAAATTGAACACAGTTTTTTGAATAATATAACCATTTAGACCTGTCTGCTGATGTCTTAAGTTCGAAGTCCCTCAAGACTGATGTCCTTTTCTCTGCTGTTGTTCAGCAGCTCTGTGAAGTCAAAGAGAATTGCTTTGTGTGGTTTGATATAGCTAATAAGGCAGTGCTGAGGACCTCGAAATAACCCAAGAACTCTAGCTTGACTTAAAAATCTATAAGTAAATGCTCTTGATGATGGGGAAGCATTATGAAAGAAGCAAGTTCACTGAAGTGCGTTACCTGAGTAATGCTTAAAGCAACCGTAGTTCATTCACGTGTTTCATATACTTAAATATGGAGATAAACTGTGCACCCTTCTGTTTAACATTCAATGTAAACTGAATACATAACTGATTCTCCTGTGTGCCTCCGGCATTTTTATGTGTGCTGCGCCAGCTCAGCTTCGCTCGTCCTTAATAGGAGAGCACATAGCAGGCTTGTGGGACTCTGCACCTTGGGTTTGCTGTTGAGCTGCAGGGTCTGCAACAACCCTGTAGGATGCCTCTCAAAAGAAGGCCTCAATCTGTTTCATGTCGTAGCTCATCGCTTTGTAGATACGGGCAAACAAGATGTTCTTGATGGTCAACAATAGCCGATAGCATAGAGGCATCCAACAAAGGAGATATGGATGAATTCACGTGCCGGTGGATAGGCAGGAGTTCCCCCACCAGAATATCAGCAGCATGTTGCTGTACCATTTCCTGAGATACTGGGTGTAAGAGATGTTGTAGGGGAGTTGCTGGGGTTGTTTGTCCTCATGAATGGTAGCTCTTAGCGGTACTGCTTAAACTGAGGTGGTTGTTCACTTAAGAGGTAGCATTTTCAGGGTTTTTTGGGGACTATTACTTTTTCTAGGTTGAGTGAGAAATTCCTCTCAACTGAAGGGTGTTGACACACGGTGGTCCTAAATATAGTGGGAAGTACTGTCTTCTGAGAGGGAATGGAGGCAACTCTGGTGTAGGAAACTATCTATACAGTCTGGAAGAGTTACGTGAGGACACGACTGTTTGCGGAGCAGAGGCTTGCTTCTACAGTTACGGCTGCTTTACACTTTCAGGCCATTGTAGTCACTAAAGAATAGCATTGAAATATGATTTATTTTTTTTTCCCCCCACTAATGCTTAAGTTTTCAAGTTGCTGTTTCTGCTATCTGTCTTTTCCTGAGAGCAGTGATGGTTTGGTATGTGGCAGGGATACAGAGAGATTCAAGTGGGGAGTAGTTGTGGTAAATTTGGAACACTTTTTTGGCAGTATTCATTGAGTTTGGACAAACACGAGGTATTTGAACGTATCCAGTGATGGTCACGTTTGTGTGCAACAGAGACTTTTTTCATTGCATCTGACAAAAGTAATAAGCCTCCAGGACAAAGTTTGTCTGTCCTGTGTTTCTTACACAAGGCTGATTCCGCACAGTAATGCAAACTGTATGGGTTGTTTGAAGATAACCCGTGAAAGGCCCAGTGAATAGATTTAAAAGTGATAACATTTATTCGTTGTGTGGTTCCTTTTCTCCCTTCTTGCCGTCTCTCAGCATTCGCTGGCTGTTCCTCACTCTCCTCCTCCTCTACCCTGTGAATCCCTTTAATCTTCCTTACTCTTTGCCTGCACCTCTACATTTCTGTTTTTGAACCTATTTTTTTTCCAGTTTTCCATGTCTATACCTGCTTTAGTTTCTTCCTTCATTTTACAGGGGTTTTCCTCTGTTTGATCGCATCTCGCATTTTCTCTGCTGATTGTTTGCCTCGCGCTGCTCTGTCTGCTTAGCCTGTGCAGTGGACTAACTTCTTAAAAGGTTTAAAGAGAAAATGGCTTCACTCTGAGTGGACCTTCATTTAATGATTGTGATGTGTTCTTTTTAACGAGGTATTTTTGTTACTATTTCAGGTCTTAAAAATTAGCTTGATTGGCCACCGGAAGCGCGTTCTGGCATCTTTGGGAGACAGGCTTCACGAAGATCCTCCTCAGAAACCACCTCGGTCAATAACCCTCAGGGTGAGTCCCCATCAAAATTTGTTTGCATTTCTCAAAAAGTCAGCAAGCATCTCATAACATTCACATGAAAACAACGGCTGCTTCGAGTGGGGTTCAACTTATCTCACTTCAGAAAGTTATGGTGCAGACGTCTTAGGCTGACCTGCTCAGTCACACCTTCCCGTATAGCCAGCGGAGATAAATTGACATTTCTACAAGGTGATTCATCTGACCCGTTTCAAATGTCTACCTTAGAATGAGATAATATCTTAGAAGTACCAGCTTACCTTCTTTGCTCAAGAAACTATCTCAGGACCAAGTGTGTACAAGCTGCACGTCTGCATTTGCCCACCAGAATCCCAGCCTAGCTAATTGATATTGCGGAAGGAGAGTTATCATTTTCTTTTCACCTTTTCAAATGCTTGCACTTACTTTTCAGACATCCGCTTTATGCTTGCTTTAAAGAGAGTCTCTTGAAATTGTTGAGATACAAATGCCACTAAGATGTTTCTGTGTATCAAAAGTTTCCTCATGTTTTTAATTTTAATTTGTATTCCCTCTTTCAGAAACCTTGTTGCAATGTCACTGGGGTTTTGCCACCCTTCCCAGATTCAGTCTCCTCTCGTTACACCACCTTCACTCCATTTCTCCGATCCAATGCCTTTGCTTCCTTGCTGTCTTTTACCCTTAAGGAGTTGTGGTCTGATGACCCGTTCCTACTGTGTTCTCTCCAAGGGAGTTCATATCAACACTTTTTATTTTGATATTTTAGGTCACACCTTTTGCATTTGATTGGATCTGATTATTTTCATGAGGCTGCATTTCTCACTGGAATCTCATTTAAGACTACATATCCAAATGTCAGAGAGTCTCCGTGCTCCCAAGTTAAATTTCCTGATGTAAAGAGAAATCGAGAAGGACAGAATGAGGGCTTATTTTTACATATACTTACAATTTCTGTGACTAACCTGTTTCACCCTGCTTATTCTCAGATGCCACGTAGATGCTCCCCCCACCACCCCAAATTCAACCTGTTCCTAATGCCAGGTTGAAAAAGTTCTCACAAGTCTGTAACATCCTGCTGTAAGGCACATTGCACAAACGTGTGGATATTTTTCTTATATTTTATTTTTTGTGGATTACATGAATGATTCCTGATGTATGGCAGGTGTTAAAACACTCCCAGGAAAGAGGAATCATTTGAAAGTTGCATGTTTGTACTCAATGCTTTCAGTGCTCTGGACTGAGGAATTAGTTCCTCTTCAGCAGGTGGGAAAGTTTCCACAGCCTGTGTTACTGGTTAGGACTGTGTATTCTCAGTTAATAGTGAAAAGAAAACTGGATATCCTCCATCTGTAGTCAAAATGATAAAAAAGAAATCTGCTGCTCTGCAGCTAGAGCTACTGATGCGGGCAAGTGCTAAATGTCATTCATCACCTCGTGGTATTGGAGTCTTCACAGAGAATCCTAAAGAGGAGGACATGAGTTTGGATTAAGGTTATCTTTCCCATCAACTGCTACTATGCCATTTCACACGAAACAAGGACATAGTCTGTAGCTTGCAATAATTTTAGCTTGATAATTTGTTTAAATAAACTGTCTGCTGCTACTAGAAGATTGATTTATATAGAATCATAGAAAAGTTTGGGTTGGAGGCGACCTTAAAGATCATCCCTTTCCAACCCCCCTGCCATGGGCAGGGACACCTTCTGCTAGACCAGGTTGCTCTATATCAGTGGAAAAGAGTTTATTGTTTAAAGCATCTACTTTTAAGGTCCCAAGGTCAACCTAAGCATGGATAACACTTCATCTTTTTCGACTCTTTTTGTATTAGCTTTTAAAATATTTCAAAGGAAAAAATGGTTAAATATTGAGCAAAAGCAACAAACATTAAAAATATCCACAAAATAGGTTATTCCCACAATAACTGTGTACTAAGGAAAAGTTATTTTGATTTCAAAGTCATATACTTGAAAGTTAGAAAATGCTGAATCTCAGGTTACATGTGCGATCTTGCTTTCCTTCCTTGAGTGCATTATAATCGTTAATTACAGGACCAGTTTCCATGTTGTTCATGGAACCCCATCCTCACCCAGTCAGCACTGGAGGCTGGAATTTAAACTGAAGGAACTACAATTTAGGCTGAAAACTGGGAGAAGCAGCATTGCAATAGTAATGATAGTTTAACACAAGAATTAATTCACTAGAGAGAATTCCTGCTTTTAGGAACTGGTTAGACAAACATCTGTGGGGCATGAGGTGTCCCTAGGCAGCCTGGGGAAGGATCAGCTTATCTGTTCCAGCCCTAGCCTGTGTGGTTCCAGCTTTACACGACCGGCAGGACTTGAGAGGTGGGGATGAAGCAGATTTTGCTAGTGAAATACACGGTCAGGCATCCCTGCAGAGGAAGAGGAAAGAAGGAAGAATGGGAGAGAGACTCATGATTAAAGGAGTAGCTGAAGTGATGAAAATATAGATTTATACCTGCTTTTGCCACAAAGCCCTTGGGTAACACTTGGTGAGTTATTTAGGTAATTGCCTCATAAACAGTCACTAATTGTATGTTACCGACGTTCTGCGTATTTCACTGGGGTCTGGAGTCTTGATTTATAAAAGTGCTGAGCACACAGTGCTGCAAATTAGATCAATAGAAGTGGAGTTTTGAATACAAGCACTTGGAAAATCAGGCAATGGACATTGTAATTGGGCATCTAAAGTGACTGATATTTTTTAACCTTTGTCTGTGTGTCTCCGGTCCCCCACACTAAAGTGGTGATTATAAAAAGCCAGAAGTCACAGGGTGTGGTGAAAATAAATTGATTGAGGTTTGTAAAGCACTTACGAGCATTGTGGAAAAGATTGTATTAGTCATCCTATCTTCAGAGCAGGATTTGAATAGAGTTTACGGAAGGGGTTTGGGGCCATGAAACGAGGTGAGAATAAAATACTGAGTACATGAGAACTAATGATAACACAGCGCTGAGTATATGACAACATGCTGCACAGTTGAGGATCCATCTGTGCTGTGAAGGACGACGTTGAGAAAATAGCATAAAATCGTACAATTACATACTGTTCCATAATGCAGAGGCACCGTAATTCTTTTATTTCTTGACTTTGTAATTCTTGTCTGTATTGCCTTGCCAGCAATCTTCTGCTATAGATCGCTGAGTGAATTTGCTCTTTATATGCAGTTTGATAAAATATGAAAAGCTCGATGAGAACTGGAATCTGTATGTCCATTGCACGGTCAGCTCTCACTTTGATGCACTGGTGGCCCTGTCATTCTCCTGACAGTGGGAGAATCGGGATTCAGAGCAGAGAGAGGTTACCTCCCTTACTGGAGCAACAGGTAGCAGTTGTTAGAAAGGATATTTTTTTGGTACCCCTGTACTCAGGCTATTTTTGAGCAGAGGTGTATGCACCATCGAGTCAGAGTTGGACCTGGGGAGGGAAGGTTTTAGAGATTATACCTCACCAAACCTTCCAAGCATGTGCAGACTGCAGCTTTTCAGAAGCTTTTAACTGGGCCAAATGTAGGTGGATTTTTGTGAAGGAGGGAAAAAAGACTATTCCTAAGAGGCAAACACTCCTTTCTTTGCCCTGGGAAATGTCAAGTGCTTGTCTCAGATCATAGGAAAGCTAGAGAATTCAAAACCAAAAAAAATCCCAGTTAATTAAAAGTTGCTAAACAGCTATATATCCCTGATTTTAGTCAACAAACATGAAAAATACTAATCCGTATTCTGTGATTGCAAGGAATAGACTCCTACACTTCAAATACAACGTCAGATGTTACTATCACTTGAACGCATACAGAGAATTGCAACTTGCCTTTCCATTTGGAACAGATTACAGCTCTCTGATTTCTTACACCAGATCTTGTTTCTTAACAGCATGGAGTAAAGTACCTTGATGCTTTTCAGAATTAGCTTTGCTTCAGTGTAATCATGCACGAAATATCCACTTTAATTCTTTCTGTAAATAAAAAGGCAGGGTTTTTTTACCTTCCACGCACACTGGAGCTGGTCTTGGTTTCCTCTAATGTCTTTAGGTCCCTTCTAGTTGTTCAGTATTGAAATGCAGTGAAACAGCAATAGAGAATTTAGACAAGGTCTGTAATTTAGACGAGGTCTTCACTGTGCAAACACACTCCTGGATATGTTCTGCCTCCAGAGAACTTAGTATCAGAAGAAATCTCAAGTATCAGATAAATTGAGCACCGTAACCTACATCATGGGAGAGGAACCTGTTTCCCCACGGAGTTGGTGTGACTGTTTTGCAGCCTGCTGTGGGGTGGTACGGCTGGGTGCAGACTGGCGGGCCGGTACCCAATAGCTCTGCTCCTGCTGATTGCAATCCCCAAGGCAGTCTCCAACACTGGAGCTGGGCACCAGTGTTTGGAATTGGTGTTTGACCAAGCGGTGTGACGTGCATGAGAATCGGTGTTTTCGGCCGTACGTGCGGTGGGTGGCTGTGAGCAGTGTGGTGGGAGATCCCAGTAAAATATATGATCAGGAGAACAGGTTTAGCTGTTCATTAGGTAGAGTTCATGCATCCATTCGCTGTGGTATTTGCACACTGGCTGATACAGGGTCACAATCGGTTCAGAACAGATTACAAGAAAAGCCTGGTAAAATGTTTGTACTCTGATGCTTTCATGTGTTCTAGGAATTGTTATTTAGCTTGTTTCTGATAGCCAGTACTTCACGTTAAACGGATGTTCTGCAAGACCTATAAGGATTGCAAACAAAGTGTCTATATCTTGTAAATGTTCATGCATTTCTTTTTTCCAGCAAGAGATGTTGCTGGAGTTCAGACCGCTTTCAAATCACTTTCACTGCTCAGAGTAGCTGCTGAGAAGTGGTGAGAATGTATTTCATCTTGCAAATAGCTAGTCCTAAATCATGGCTTTATTTGGGCCTTGACAAGAAGTAACTCACTGTTTTATCTCTCTAGCAGTCCTAGAAGGGAGTATATATTACATGAGGAGGTTTTTGAGAGGGAATTTGCTGCTAGTTCATATAAATAGTGAATTATTTTTCCTTCCACGTGGGCTCTGCACCTTAGGTAGCGAATCTCAAAAGTTCATCCACAGTAACCTCTACTTCAGGAATTGTTCCTTAATTTTTTTGGTATGAATAATTCAAATACACTTTTAAATGTGTGGTTTGAAGTCAGCAATATGCTGTTCTTATGCTGCATTTTTCTCCTCTCTGTCCAGGAACCCAGTGGTAACCACACTCCTCCTCAGTTGTCTCCATCACTTAGCCAAAGCACTTTCACTACTGGTGGCTCCCTGGACGTTCCTCACATTATCATGCAGGGCGATGCAAGGAGAAGAAGAAATGAAAACTATTTTGAGGATATTCCCCGGTCAAAGCTGGAGAGGCAGATGGCACAGGTAGGGTTAAGCGATGCCATTAAAAGGCTGCGCCTTGCTGCAATTGAATACAGAACTAATCCTAACCATTGCTATGGGACATAGATGAAGTCTGAATTGTAAACTACAAAGACTGACAATTTTTCCAAACTGTCTGGTCCAGTTCTCTATATTTCAAATAGTGTAAGTTGATGTGCAGTTTCTCTTCAGAGGTAGAATTTTGGGGGTGTTTAGATGCCTGAAGGCTGAGCTGAAGGTGCCTCCTGTACACCAGAGCATGCAGACTCCCACCGGCACTGACCCTGCCTCTTATTTCTGTAAGAAGCTGCAGATTCTTCAATTTCTGAGCAACCTAGGTAAAAATAAGCTGACATCAATTCACTGCCAGAAACTCAGAGGTCTTGCGGGGAGAGGGTGGTGGCGATTGCTGCATTTATTCATGGAGAGGGTCAGTATTGTGCTAAACTTTGTGATCTGGGGATATAGCTTGAGTGTTTAAAAAAAGATTTGATGGTGCAACAACTCATTTGAGTGTCGTGACAGCACTAGGCTCAACTGGATGTTAAATCAAACTGTTCATGAAAGAAAACCTAAAGTAGCCTCCATCTCTAAATTTTTTTTCACCCAACCACAATAAGAATACTGATAATTTTAAATTAAACATACATTGGCTGGAGTGGTGTCTTGTACCATTCTAAAGGGCAATAAAGTTAAGCTTGGACAACCTGTTGGCAAAAATGCTTCAGGATGAACTCAGCTGGTTCTTGATGGTACATACGATGAAAGATAACCAGGTCTTAAACCATGCGGTGCTTTGCATGGTTGCAATAGCGCCTTAGTTTGCTGTCAGAAGCAGATGGGCAGCCAGTGCGGTTCCTGGAGCGACTCGCTCCCCGAAGGAACAAGTTACTGTGTGAGGCTTCCCCGCCGTTCTCTGCCTACTGCGGCCCAAAATAGAGCCTCTATCCAAAATTCAGCCTCAAAATGGGAACAGCCATGCAAATAACTGTGTGATGGTTAACATAATGAACAAAAGGCTGCAGTCACTCAGCTAATTGCATGAACAAGAAGAAGTAATTAAATAAACAGGCAAAACAAGGTGCTGCTGTTACCTGGGAACACAGAAACAAATTGAATTCCCTTTGTTCAGAGGGCATTTCTAGGACAGTGAAATTGCATTTGGTTGGATGGGGCTGTTCCCTTGTCTTTTTTTAATCTCCTAATTTTCTGCTGTATAATCTTATTGTACAGAATTATGGGGAAAGTTGCCTAGTGAATGAGCTTGTTTTCAGCCCAAAGTCTGCTGAGCTTTTATGGCAAGAACAACGTTGCGTTGAAGTCCAGCAAGGGAAAGCCCAGTTCTTAATATGAAAATAGTTCTTTGAAGGTCATGAAATTTAGATGTTTGAGCATGAAATACACACTTGCTCATGGCTGAGTAGACTGGTTCGTCTACTTAGTTCATTTTATCACTTGGTTCACAAATCCCTATGCTCACTTCCTCTTTTAGTCGCTAACACTGAAGGAAAAAAAAAAGCCCAAAACCAAAAACACATACTAGGAGTTCTTCCTGTCTCCTTTTCACTCTTTTCCTGCTTGAAGTCCTGATACTCCCAAGAGATATGACACACTCTCTTATATGGCACCTAGAGATTTTCTTCGGGCTGTTAAAATTTGCTTTTCCAGAAGAACTGTGATATGGTTGCATATCCAAAGAGAAAACTTAGTACTTACACAACTCCAAACTGATTTAAAACCAATTAAGTGCTGTTTGTTTGGGGTTTTTTGTGGGGGTGTGTATGCACTGAATGAATGGCTTCTCTCTAGCTTTCACTGTGGAATATAACAGTCATCCTTTGGGACTCCAAAGGGGAGAATGGATTCAGATGAAATCTATAAAACAGTGTTTTGTGTTAGTCCCAGACCTCCAATCTGTTTGGGGGCTTTCTCAGCTCTGCCCCCAAATTCTGCACTCCTGATCTATGTAAAATTCCTTTTGACTTTAATGGGAAAGTCAATGACTCCCTCTGGTGATCATTCTCACTCAATTGGGCTCACCTCATTAAGAGGCTAATCAGGGATTTCTTCAACCATTCTAACCCAAAAATAGATTCTTAAATTTATTTCTTGCAATATGTGCTTTGGTAAAAGGAGCAGTATTTCCTTCAATCTGTTCCCCCAAAGCCCCTTTGAAATTAAAGGTAAAGTAATTGTTTCTGGAAAATAAAGGAGATCCAACTGATTCTTAACATCAGCATTCCGCTCCATGTTTGGTTTTTTTTTTAATCTAGCAACTTCCTCCTTGCAGTTTGCAGGTTCCTTTGGCTTATGTCAGATCAACAACAACTTCTGAGCTGATACCAGTCCAGCTTCCCAGTTAGAATACTTCTCACAAACAGAATGACCTAGAGGGATTATTGGAATTGCTTTGAGGATATTCTTTGTCTTAACCCTTCCTTTGCTAGGCTGTTTGCATGCTGCTGTATGAATCTGCATGTTTACTGGATGCTATAGTAGACAGACATGCATAAAGACATCTTTGATGCTGTAATATTTTGAAAGGGTTTTAAGTGTGTTCTTGACAATGATGTTAATGGGTGTTTTTATGGCCTTGAAGGGAGAGGCCAACGTGGTATTGAGAGCTTATGCATGGTACTGCTTTCATTAACTTGATTTTATTTCAGAAATGTTAGGAGAAGACTATTTTTAGCCTCAATTTAAAATCTAAAATCTGAAGATAGTACGAGAAAATGGTGAGATCTGATGTTTCCGTCTTTACTATGGCCTGTGTTTTCACTAAACTTTTACATGGGAGTCATCAAGCATGTTGATCTTTGCATCAGATATCAACCAGTGTTTGCTAAGAGAATGAGCACGTCGGTTTAAATCTGTTTTCCTTTGATCTGCTAAATGGTTTTAAACAATTCTCAAAACCGTAATCAAATCTGCTTGTAAGTAATACAACACTTTGTCTCCTGGAGGAAGCACTGATTTCAATTTACTTAATGTGGGTGGTTTTGTCTCGAGGCCAGCGTGTACCTTCATTCACAGTTCCCTAGCAGACTGTTTGTGACCTAAGAGGGGAAAATCCTAATATAAACAATGAGTCTAACCAATTTAGATTCCCCACTGGAATAGGTTTGGTCATCCAACTCTCCAGTTGGTCATTCAACTTTGAAAGTCTTTGACGTCTGGTTATGTAAATCACAACTGCCAAAAAGGTAATACAGAAGGTTGTGAGATGGTTTGTTTTCCAAAAAAAAAAGGAAAAAAAATAAATCCAGAAAGGATTGAGTACTCTGAGTCATCTTTGACTGTGGTTGAATTCTGAGCCTGCAAACTGTAGATTAATATGATCAAATTAACATAGTTTAAAATAGCTGAGGTTGCTCTTCAGATTGCCTAAACCGTTAAAATAGAGCTGAAATCATACAGGCAAAGCCTAAGGACTTTGGAACCAAAATCAATAGGAGGAGTCCCGTTGAAGGGATTGGGCTCTTCGTTCACCCCTGAAATCATGGGCAGCAGGGAGAAATATGTATTTGTGGGGAAGAGCTGTGGAGGCTAAAAGGAAGCATAGCTAAGTTCATTAAAATACACCAATTAAAATGTCAGGTCTTTAGGATTTGTAATTCTCCAAGCAGCAGGGAAGCTTTAGGTACTAGCTGCAAGCATATCCCAGACGGCCAGCCCTGAGGCTGTTGCTATTTCTTGCTCCAGCCAGTGACATATGGTGCTTTTACCCACCGTGGTCCATCAGACCTCTCACCGCGGGGTTCAGAGCGTGGCACCCTGCCCCAAGCCGGGACCAAGGACCGAAAGCGTTCTCCAAAACATCCTCCCTATCCATCCCAAAACACCTCTGCCCGCGCCACTCCTCCCAGAAGCAGAACTGGGTCAGGCATCACCCCGATACTGACGCACGCCCTCCTCCAAGGGCTGAACATGGGGTGCACCCCGAGATGGGAGAGGTCTGGCATTTTGGGTGAGTCTGTAGGGCTCTGGGGAAAGCTCCAGGCTGCGTCTGCCTCTGGGAGAAAAAACTGATAATGAGTCAGAGTAAGTTTTCTGGTAGGATAAACCTAGTGACGGCCCATATGGGGGCACCTCGGTGGGCTGTGATGGAAGGGAGAGAATCCTTTAAGATCTCAGAGAGCTGGAAAAATTATTCACAAAGGCTGGCAGAAGTTCTTTCCCAGAGATGCTGAACCTAGATTTAATTTTGGAAGCCTTTCAGGGTTCTTTGGTCCCGTGATCTGAGGGCTCTTACTATTATTACTTTTTCCCCTAAAACACAAGGTAACTTATATGTAAGGTCATTGTAATGACTGGGTAGTAAGTTTGAAGTAAAGCTACCCCGATTGTTGGGATTCTGCCTTGTAATATTATTTTATGAGATACAATAATTCATTGCAGGATTAGGATCAATATGCAGGAGACAGTCATTTAAATGGAGTTAGTCCCAGAGATCCTTTATCTACAATAGAGGAAAAGTGTAATAAAAACAAGAGACAGAATTAGCAAAGGCAGGTTTGTAGGAAAATTGTGAAATAATTTTGCTGCTTTCTGAAGTAATCCCTTCAACTCAGTAATATCTTCCAAATACTTCACAGATATTCATGCATTCGTATTTCCAATGCACTGTGGGGCTGTGTGCTTTAAAATCATGTTTTCCATTTTACAGCTAAGAAAACTGATATACAGGGATGTTGCAGGTTGGCCAAGATGACGCTGAAAGTTTGAAGGAGCCAAAAATAAAACTCTTGTCTGATAAGACCCATCTTTAGTTTTTTAACTTTTAACCACAGCATGACATTTTTTTTATTTGCTTGTTTCCTGTTTGTTTTCCTGTCTCCTTCTCTGCTTTGGAAGGATTTAAAGATTACGGTGAATGAAGGAGAGTATGCCCAGGAGAATATCAGTGTGTAAAATGAGATTATCTAAGAAGCAATGAAGAATGGGTTTTATTTATGGTTAAAATTACTGGTGAAATAACAGAATTCTTTACTAGTAGATTTAAG